AGGCAACCGACCTCACTCAGATGAAATGTCAGGTTCGGACCTCGACGGAGACAAGTACTTTGTCACGTGGTATGACAGGCTGCTCCCACCTAAAGCAAATGTAGAACCGATGGACTTCACATCGCCAGAGAAGATGAAGGTTGAAAGACCCATAGAAGTGTCTGATATGATTCAGTTTGTGGCAGAATATATAAAAAATGATCAACTTGGGATTATAGCAAATGCTCATCTTGTCCATGCAGACCACGATGATAAAGGTAAACTGTTATAATTAGCAAATCTACAGAGGTTTCGCGTAAATGTTTTTACATTTAGGAATTTATTGCATTTAGGACCAAATATTTATTACATTTAGGACTTTATTACATTTAGGAAAGTTACTACATATAGGACTATAACAGGGTCACCAAAAATTTATGCAGGGCTCTGGGGCATGGGGAGGGCTATTTCGTGTTTTGGATCATAGGAGGAGAGGTCACAGTTTTTTTCTGTTTTGTGAGGGGGAGGGCATAGGAAAGCAGCATTGGTGAGAAACGAACCTGCAACAGCCCTCCCCCTCTCTGAAAAATGTCAGATCTCCTATGAAACAGCGCATTATAGTGATCTCGGTAATATGGCATCGGAATGCGAAATCTGAAGTTCTGGGATCTAGTTACCCGTGGGAATTATCCTTCATTTTTTTATTCATTTAAGTTGATTTATTCATTTATTTCATTATTTTTTTGTGCGGCGATCATTTAAAGACGAACAACATCGTTTATGTATTCCGCTACCGAACTCAAATTTACCACGCAACTTTCTTATTCTGAAAACCTGAAATCGTGTCCTTAGAATAAATAGTTTCATGTTACTTTTATTTGCGTTTGCAATTTTTTGTTGGTGATGGAGTTGTGTAAGTATTAGATCGACTGCCTTTATATACGGTGGTACCCTCCAAGGGTCATGGTGTTGAATTTCAAAGAAGCCACAACTTTGGGGACAGTTATGCGAATCAACGATCATCTGAGATAATAATTACATGCGTTTCGTTCAAACTCTAACAGATCTTCTCCGAACGTAACTAAGTGAGGTGTTCAATCAAAGCCTTCATCAATGTGACATTTCTTCATTTAAGGTGTATTTTCGGACGCCTGTATCCAACTGGCACACATGCACTCGGATGCCGTAGATTTTCCAAAAACAGGGAAGTGTCCTTCTTTGCCCAAAGATTTGAGGCCAGATCAGTACCCAGACTTTATGATGAAATCCGGGAAACCACGCTACAAGTAAGTTTTACCGATGATAAACAACATGGACGGAAGATATTTTATTCGTTTTTTAAATTCAAAATCATATTTCATATCACATTTAGATCACCGAGACTGCATAAGTCTACTTAAGTAGACTGAAAAACAGCTAATAACACGGAAGGGTGATGCTACAAAAAGTGACACAACCAAATGACCTCATGGCAGCATTTACTCGAAGTGTAGCGATCCACATCCGAGAAATAGCTACACCCTAGGACTAACAATGACTTCGTTTGGCACGATCAAGAAAGAAGCATTCTTTTTAAACCTCGTCTAACAAGCACATTTTTCTGATGGATACTCTATCATTTTATGACATCAAGAATAAATATTTAACTATTCTTCTGATGACGAACGTATGGCAAATATTTGCTATTAATTTTCAGTTCACAAAGAATCCTGGGAAAACTCTTCCGAAAGTGTAAGTCCCTTGATCGTGCCCAGCAGTTCTCAGCCGAAGCCTCTCATACCCAGATCATCCCCGACCCAGACCTGATCGTTCCAGGTTACGAGTATTACCTTGAGGTGGCCAAAGAAAAGAGAAATCACTACAACACCAAGCTTGATGGGCTGATGTCTTTATACGGCTTGAGAAATGAAGGAGAAGTGATCACTGGCTGTCTTGTTAGAGTGAACACCCGTCTCGCTGGAAAAACCGATGAAAAATTTGAAGTAGCACAGATGATTCAAGCAAGTCTGTCTACTTTGCGTGCAAAAACACGACACGATTTTTACGATGAATTCGGCGGAGAAGATGAAGTGATGGATGAGTTTGAAGAAAATGGTTATTTTCCCGATAACATTTTGCAGAAAGCCTCGGCATGGTACTTGGCGACCTACGGAGAGCAAGGAGAAGATGAAGTCCAGGTAACTGCTTCGTCTACAAATCCAAATCAGCAACAAGAGAAAGAACAACACCAGAAAAGATTACTCAGCTTTCCATGGGTGGTGGACCGTATCCTAGCAAATATCAAAACAGCTAAGAAAGAAGAGAGGGAGAGGGATGGATCCCAAGCACAACATGCCATGGGTGCAGTCGGTGACCTCATAACAGATCAAGCAGCTTACTTTTTTAGTAGGTTCAAATCCGAGCTAGGTGAAACTCGGGAGGTTCAAATTGAAGAGCGAAATAAGCTAAAGAATACGTTAAACCGTCTTATTGGAGAGGCCCGGGCACCGCGGCTGGCTTTGTTCAACTCATCACTGACCGGAATCTCCGTGGGCGACGAACAACAGACCTCTGTTGAGATTTACGTTCATCTCAAGTGGAATGCATCTGAGAAGGAGCAGTATGAGTACCTTCAATGGCTGAGCAGAGTACTTAGCCGAGAGGGTTCTGTCAAGATGCAAAAACATCCTGTGGTTCTGCACTTTCAACGCTCTTCTCAAGGTATATAAATTAAATTAATGTCGAAGATTCACAACAAGATAATACGTGTTGTTCTCTAAGATCTCTAACTGACTGTTCAGAAAAAGGTTACAAGATATGTTGATTTGCTACAAGAACAATGGATTAAATGCTTATGTTAGACTGCCTTCCTACAAATTGAAAAATGGTCTCAACAGCTTTGACAAACATCCTGATTTCTTTATCGACAATCATCGTGGCTCGCTTAGCATTAGACAGAAGAAGTTGTATTAATGTCCTCCCTTTGCATTTCTATCCAGGTTTCAATTTATTGAAGCAGGACTACTACATTACAGCAGACTCCAACAGATTCCAAAAGAGTGCTTATGTTAGTATGCAGGTTCAGCGGTGTCCTCGACTCCTCCATTTGCTGCTCGTTTTGATTCACTGGGGGCGTCGAAGGCACCTCGTTGGGAACTCGAAACGCAGCTTCTTGTCAGATGAAAATCTGGCCACTCTTTTTCTCGTCTTTTGTGAAGAATCTGACTTGATTAATAAGGTAAGTCTCTGGTTGATTCGTTCATCAATGATTTTCGGAAGGAGAATAAACTGAAAGCTGCAGAGCCTAACTTTTGATAAATATCTGCAAATTGACAGGCAAGTAACTAAGATACAGGTCGTTAACGCCGTTCAGACGTTCAGATAAACATCAGCATGTCTTCCTTTCATTCTAGTCTACAATGGAAGGATATCAGTAATCTTTCTCTGGTAATCATACTGTTTTTGTTTTCTCGTCTTTGTGTTTTTTCTTAAAAGCTGAGCGACGATGATTTTCAGAATTTTACATTACGCCATCTTGGTTTACCGTCCAGCGCCGAACGAACTGAGGCTGAGAGAGTGTGGAGCAATGAAGTGCTGGGAGAATATTATCAAGAAAGACTTAAAGGACTCAAAAGTGACATCACTCCAGGGCATCTGTTGATCAGGTTTTTTGAATATTACAGTTTAGTGGCAGACGATGATGCCCTTCATATGCGAAATGTGAAAAATCCAGTGAAAAGGAGAGAAACGCTTTGTCCGAACGTTTCTTCGGAAGAAGGTAATCGCTTTTCCGATGCTGCTCTTCATGCGTTCCACGAGCTTGCACAGTGCTGTGGTCTGGATACCCTTACAGCAGCAACGCACGCTGAGAGCACACGTGAACTGAAAGAAATGCTGACCATGCCAAACACGACTTGGGGCGCACTCCGATTCGCTGAAGAATTTGTAAGAGTGAAATTATCCACACTTACGTCAGCTCAGATCTCCTTACGACCGGGTAAGTCATTTTCTCTCCCCAACTATTGGTGAGTAATTTTTGTCCAGTGTTTCGCTGCGCGTAAACGAGAATCAATCGAGAGAAATAACCCCACTGCGTGCAATCTAGCTATCTTTTTAACATACTCATATGGTTAACTGATTTGATGGCTTGGTAAAATAGTTGATTTGGTCGCCAAGGTTGGTTGGCTGATTTAAATGTTGATTCGCATGGTCGCAAGTGGATAGTTGTTTGATCTGATTGATTGGTGGTTGGTTGATGTAAAGTATTAGTTGGTGGGTTGATCCATATGTTGCTTTGGTTGGTTGGTTGGTTGGTTGGTTGGTTGGCTTCTCTGGCTTCTTTGTATAGATTCATTTCGTAGGTAGTTGGCTGGTTGTATCATTTTACGGTTGTTTGATTGTTTTTTGGCTGGCTGCTTTGATTGTTTTATCCGGTTGTTTCCTTTATTTCGTGGATTGTTTTTTTGGTTGGGTCATTTGTTGGTTTGGTTTGTTAGCTGGTCATCCTCGGAGACCCAGGGGCTGTGGGTCGATTTCAAGTTAGGGCATGAAGAGCCCCTGGGGACATTGTCTTACAAGACTAGTTCCAAACGGTCGCAGACGTTCTGCCATCTGATTGGTGCCAGAAAATCTCAGTGTTTTTCTGCCCAATCAGAGTGAGGTGTGCTTTGGAGTCATTTCGTGTTTTGTAACACGGACAAATACTAATAGCTCAGTTGCTCGCTATGTTTGTTTGGGCCGTGCGACGGAGATTTGCTTGAGGTGAAAAGTTTCAGTCTCAGCACACAATGAAATAACTTTACGGGATTGGCAAAGTTTCAGTCACAGCAAATTATGCAAAAACTCTAGAAAGATTTAAGCCTAAATCTCGTTTAACGTTTAAAGCGACATATCAATGACTGCAGCCATCGTGTTGTATACAAACCTCGCAAACTTTAAAACACGTTCTCTAGTGATACCTGCGAAACTATGAAGTATAATTTCCGGTAAGATTTTCGCGGACAATCTGATCGATTTCTCTTACATTGTGTGCTGAGACTGAAACTTTTCACCTCACGCAAATCTCCGTCGCACGGCCCAAGGCATAGCGAGCAACTGAAGTATTAGTATTTGTCCGTGTTACAACACACGAAAGGACTCCAAAGCACACTTCACTCTGATTGGGCAGAAAATCACAAAGATTTTCTGGCACCAATCAGATGGCAGAACGACTGCGACCGTTTGGAACTAGTCTTGTAAGACAATGTCCCCAGGGGCTTTTCATGCCCTAACTTGAAATCGACCCACAGCCCCTGGGTCTCCGAGGATGTTAGCTGGTTAGCCTGGTTGATTTGCCTCTCGTTGGTTGAATTTTTGGGTAGCTTTGTTCGTTACTTGGTTAGTTAGAAAACTTTGTTAACTGGTAGATTGGTTGGTAAGTTAATACGTTTGGTCGATTTGTTAATTCACTGGTCTGTTGATTGACCTGATCGGCTGGTGATTCGTTTCGGTCAGTTGATAAACGTACATCAGCTATTTTTGTAATGTCGAGGAAACTAGATACAACGTCACCAAATGTGTACATGAGCATTTCTTCATGAACGAATCTTCTCACTGATGCATCAATCCCAGAGTTTAGAGTGCTGATAGATTTTTCTGGAACGCAATCCAGTTGCTAGATTGGCCGTGTCTGCAAAACGCCATAATGAAACCAAGATATCAGTTATTAATGGATGTAACCTGAACTTATTAAGCTTATCAATGGCTTCTTTTCTGCGCTGTAACTCTCTCCATTTTATATATATTGTGTGAGACTTCAAAGTACTGTTTTCCGTTCAAGGTGATGTAAGCATTATTATACTCACCAGTGTTATGTTTTGGCGTTTTCTATTCCTGTAGAAGACACCACTGATGGCGTATCGAACTTTAAACGTATTTCGTAAATTAATTCTAAGAGGATTGCTATCTTTGTTTTCAGCTCAGACTGGTTACATTCTTGAGGCCACAGGAAATTATCTCACGCTACACACTGTTCAAAATGAACTGGAGAAGATCGAAACAACCTGCACGTCGTACATTTACGACCATACCGTGAGTGGGGCCAGTCGGTTTCTGTTCTTGGACCAAAATGGGCCAAATGATATGGTCAATGTCAAGCAGTTGCAACGAGGGGACTATGCGCTGAACTTAAGCCCGTTGAATAGTTTACTAGCGCTCGGCCTCAACGATGAACGCAGTAGGGATTTGGCAGAACAGAATTTACTGAGCTTCATTTCATTTCAAATGGGGGTTTTTAAGCAGGAGTATCTACCGTACGTTCATGGTACTGAAAGACTGATGATCAGGGCCGAATTTGGTAGCATTTATGTCCAAAATGCACAAGTTCATGCACGAAAAGTTGGAGCCGTCGAGGAAATTCTGAGTCAGACCGCTGATGCTAAAAACCGGCCTGGGTCGAATCAGGCCCAAAAACGAAATTTGATGACACATAAATTCATACCAGTTTTAGGTGGCGCCGAGAGCTGGACTGCAGCGTTCCCCACTCCCTCTCAAGAAAGTTATGAAGAGACGTATACCCTGGGAATAAAGGAAGGTAGGAACCACACCAAGACCGTTCTTTATGACAGCGAGTTGCAATTTTGTGACGTAGACATCCCTCCTATTAACTGGGTGGTAGCAGATGTCAAAGCCCCGCGCCCTGCAGGTAAGAAATCACGTGATATCGATTTCCGCGTCACCGTCTGTTCCGAAAGAAAACTTGGAGATGATAAAGACGAAGTTATGAGCTCACCCGGTTACGAAATGTTTAGAACAAAATCAATCCTCAGCAAACCAGACGATACGAGTTTGGAGCTGGCAAGGGACTTCCAAAAGAAAGTTTCTTTTGTCAGACATGATAAGACCTCGATCTACAAAATCTCGGATGGAAATCTGTTCCTTCGAGTAAAGGAAGTAGTGAAATATGACGGAAAAGGTTCGAGGTTTCTTAAACCCTCCAGAAACTTCACAGAAGCTCAAATATTTGGATTCTTCGATGGTAAAGGTGACTTGGAAGAAGCAATGAAGGTGTCCAGAGACTTATGGTCAGCAGTTAAGAGGCTGAGACCACACATCATATAAGCTACTCACTTTTAAGCAGTGAAAATATAACACAAGTTTCAGCCTTTTGTAACCGTTGGTTTTTTTCATGCAAAACCGGAAAATACTCGTTTTTATGGCAATCAAATCGATCAAAGTTTTTACTTATATCATTCTGGAGATTTTTTCCCACGGTGATTGAAGAAAAGAGTCGTTGACCAACAATTATTGAGGCTCTTTAACAGTGATACGTAATTAATAGTCTCAGGTAAACTTTAGGCGTGGGGACGAATTACGAAAAATTCGCGCACTTTTAAGGTCGTGTTTCGCTCTTTAAAACTAACGTCTCACTGTTCCTGTTCTAAAAATTTCATACCGTGGATAATTATGTGCAAGAAGAATTTCAACCCTGGGTCTGATAGTCATAGATTAACAAAATGCACTTCATATGACTCGCATATGAATACAAATCATAAGCAAAGAGGAACATCTATATATCTTCAGAAATTTCCGTCAAATAATTTTAAAGTCTCACCGAAGTTTTCAGGCTAGCCTGTAATATTATTAACTGACGTGACTTGGATGTGTTTCTCTGTAACCCCTAAGGTTGCCTCGTCACTCAGAAAAAAGTTGAATTAGCTCCGAAAGCCTTTGAGTTCAGATATTTCATTTTTTAAACACAGTCTATTTGACTGTCTTTTCTGAAGTTGAATTGGCAAGATTTCATTCTCGTATATTTTATTTTTTGAAGCCGATCTTAATTAACAAAGTTACATCTATTTTATTCAACTTTTTGATACCTTTTTACATTTACAAAACGATACAATCAAACAGAAAATGAGCCTGGATGTTTTCCATTAAACTGTGAGTTATTAGTCTCTTTTGTCAGATCTGCACATGTTGATTGAGCCAATGAGTGACTTCTTCCTCGTGCCTACTGAGCCAATGTATATTTGCGTGGATTCGCTCTATTCCCATTTTCACCTGGCGATAGGCTGCGTCTGTGGGCTTATAATCCTTGAAGAATTCCGTGACCTGTAACGGATCACGCAAAATACACAAGTAAACTTAAAAGTCGGTTGGAAAACGTGCATTTGCCAACAAAGTTACTTTTAGAAGGCTAAACATTTTAGCTCCCATGAGTGACCAAGAATGAATTTCTATTTTCCAAAAGTCAATACAATATTAGCAGACAAGTGATTACAATAAAGGATAATATAAATTAGGGGATTATTAGTTGATCCAATACATAAATCTCCGAATTACTATCATAAGAATTGTATGGCGGACAGTGAAGTGAATTGCTGATAAGATTCAGCAATTCTTCCTCCCGCCCTTCTGTATATGAAGTATCCAAGAGGAAGCCCCGAGAAAACAGTTCTGCGACATTACTTCAAGTTAGCAAACACGAAAGGATTTGAAATAATAACGAAATAATTTATTTTGTTTCAGTAACTTTTCGTTCAGTTAGGATGCACGTCTAAAAAGCGCACCACCTGCGACCTCTCTGCACCCCCTAAACTTGCCCCTGATTCGTCCCTTCCAATTATGCATCTAAGTCAAATATCTTACCTGGCTCAGCTGAGCCGGTGTGTTGCATTTAAACATCAAAGATTTAATCAACACTGGCCATTGATCGGATCCGCGACTGTACCTAAGGGTAAAAGTTTTTAGTTTAATTTTTATCGTGGTAAAGATCGATCAGTTTTCTGCCATTACACAGATGCTGCAATTTATTTTTCAAGTATCATTTTGTGGCGCTTACTACCGCCGGATTTCGACCGATTTTGAACGCGATTATCCTACTTCGATTTTGGAAGCTATTTTGATTACCTCATTCGGAAACCTGCGATTATATATGTACATTGCTCAGAAATTAACGCAATCTATTTTATGTTTCATTGAATTTCCAAGCTTCAAATATGCGAATTTTCTGTACGAATCTTTTCCTCAATTGCACCATCTTGGAACCTATACATATGAAAATAATAGTTGAAGAGAAGGGTATCACCTGTTCACACAGAGAATACAATACAATACTGAGTGCTCGTGTACGTGTGTACCCCTCCATCCCACCCCGGGGAGGACATCCACCTCACAGTAATCTCGTGCGTAGGAAATTAACGTCTCCTGCCCCTACCCCTGCAGGAGACGGGACCTACGGTTTTATTCGTCCTTATCCGAGTAGACTAGAATATCTATTCATTTCTTGATATTATAGAAAGGTAGCAAATTCTCCTCAGTTATTTTAAGGCCATGAGTAGTGGTGCCGCACAACATAATCCGGCGCTCTAACCAATTGAGCTAAATTTACCCATAGCTCGTAACCAAGGGAATTCAGGATGTCAAAGTACTAATTTTGTTATGTCGGCTCCCAGATTAAATGTCTTTAAAAATCGATTATTTAATTATCTTCGTACTTAGTTGTATTGTATTATTTACTATAAATTTCTGTATTTAGATTTTATTGTAATATTTATTATAATATACTATAGCAAGACATAGTAGTTCCTCCGTTTTCTTTCTTATCTAGATGCGTGGTTATGCATTAGACATTTCTTTTTATTCTGTTATCTTCTATATTGTTTATTATTCTTGTACAGTGGTAAAAAGCATTATTAAACTTAAACTTAAACTTAAACGAGAGACGACGCAAAAAAAAAAAAGAGAATTGGAAGATGAATTGCTTTTGAAATATCTGTCTCAAACGCAGTTCATTGGCAGAAAATGATAAAAGAAAACTTGTGAAGGAGATTGCTTTAGCCGGGGGACCTGGAGAACCATGTGTGTACTGCGAAGAGATGATCAGGAAGAGCTTGGAGATTTGAGATTGAAAGATGAGCATCAAGGGAAAAAGGAATAAAGAAGTATTTTTATCGATATAAGTCAGTGGTATCGTCTCTGAGTGCGATTACTTGGTTGTTATTCTTCATACCTTTTGTAGAGAATGTGCCAGTTTTCACGAACAAAGTCCCAAGCCATTTCCCATGATTCAGGATTAGACGCCACCCCGCTGATTACTGAAAGTGTGTCTTGAGAAGAGATTTTTGTCTTATCCAATGAATAATTTAAGCATCTGGTGGCGGAAAATTGAAAGAAAGCCAAAAATAGTTAAAGAGGTGCGGGTTTTTATTAGAGTGGCGAAAGGGACTTAAAAGACTACGTTCTGAATCTCAGGTATATCAAACTCAGGGACGGAGTCAACAGCCCGCTTTCGAGTTCCGATAAATCTCACTTTCAGAAGGTTTAGTCTGTTAGAATAACAAAAACATAATCTTTAGAAGAAAATTGCTTTAAATAATTGATTCAACAAGTACTTTTGGCCTTAAGAGTGTTCCGGAGGCCTGTTGGTTTGAGGTGATGTGAAAATCCGAATGTTTGGGCCTATGTTGCAGGCTCATTTCAATAGAGGTTCTCTCTCTGGGGGCACAAAACCTGTCCTATTCAGTTGTAGGATACATTTTGGTGTGGAGTACCCGACTTAAAACCAACCTTTGTATCATCTGAGTATTCCTGGTGTAAGTGAGTGCATCCAAAAGTATATCTTTTTCGGAAGCGATGTGAGTCGTTAAGTACTTTTCAAAAGCCTGATTCCATTCTTTCGCACCACCTTCTTTTACACCAACTGAATACACTAAAGAACGAAAGTTTGATGGGATCCTGTAAAAATGAATTATGTCAGTGGCTTTGTCTTTTAGGATGCACATTGTATCGTGAAAAAGAAAAACAAGACAAGAAAAGTTATTTGATCATTTCCTCCACAATGAGGCTTTTTTTGGGACGAGAGTCATCCAAAAAAAACGCGACTCATAGTGACGTTAACTCCTAATCAACATAAGAAGTCTTTTATTCAGACAGAGAGATTAATCAGTGTGCCATTTGTAAAGCACTGCCAAACATAGAAGATGAAACTGCGGCTGTGGAAGGAAAGACACTCACATTTTCCCCTCTTCCATCGCAAGTGTGAACATGGTCTTGATTTTCAAGATGATGTCCTGATCTGAATAATCACAAGCCTTAAAGAGAACCTTTGGCCGCAGCATTCTGAAAAACAACAATAGGCCATGATCAAGCATGAATTAGCAGGAGAGTTGGAAAAATAATTAAATAGCATTCTTAAGCGACCTCACTTTCATTGGAGGCAGATTTGGCAAAACCTTAAATAATAAATTTCTTTCTAACAAATTTACAAAGTGTTATCTAAAAGAAGCAATCCATTTTAAACTTAAATTCAGTACAAAGTACTTGGGTAAACAAGAGAAGTTACTTTTCTAAATGCGTTCCTTTGTCATTCCATCCCAGTCTCCATACTGATGGTCGAAGTTGTTGAAGCATATACCTCTGTGGCAGGAAAACAATCGTAATTTTTCACTCCTCTCATATTACACTCTGCACAGCTATTTCAAGTTTGTTAATATTTTTCCATCGAAACCATAAACAGTGTTACCCTTAGTTCCAATAAAAATGAGGTCCGATGTCAAACTTAATTATGAACAAGAATTTGTTTCTATTTCTTCTAACCTTATACACAACGATATCTTCTCACCGAGACAAAAATAATAAGACTTCCTTGAAAGTGCAACTGATGTAGAAAGGATACAAATTCTGTTGACAACGAACAGGGATTACCTTGAAGACATCATAAGCCTTGCGCAGAGTTAACTGCTCGCCAATGTAGTCCATGTTTCGTAGGAAAGTTATCAACGGCGAATACTCTGCCTCATTCCTTATGTATTCAATCATTTCTAAGGCCAGTTCATACCCGAGCTCGTCGCTCCTAAGTAAATGTTATATTTGGACACATTATGTAAAGAGATTAGCACAATTGCACATTGCTGAAGATTGTGAGAGGAAAAGAGCAAAAAAGGCACAACACAACCGCAGTTAATAGGGTGGAGAGGTAGAAATTAATAAGTAAATGGAGAAAAAAGACTTGATAGAAAATAGAATAAAATCTCATTCGTAAATAGTAAATATACCGAAATGCAGAAGGAAGCATGTGAAATGAAATTGTTTACCTTGCTAGATGAAATGCATCATCAATCAGTCCGGAACGGTCGGCTGCACTGATTAGCTGCAATTTTGCATAGTGCATGCTTTAGCTGCTAATGCAAAATCATTCTAACTTTCCATCAGGTTAAAATCTCCTGAAATTCGTCATCAGTCATTAGGATTTTCATTAGGGTAGCTATTAGGATTTTCCATAACCTTGGTCATTGCGACAATGAATTTGGTAATTATTCAGCCAATAAATAAAAATAATAAAGATGTAAACTAATTGTAAACAACTGCTGTTTCCTAGGAGAATATCTGTACTTACTGTATGGTCTGTGTTGAGTTGGTTGTACAGAGCTTTCCAGTTGTCGATATCGTAATTAACTCTGTAATAACCAATCTGATCAACATTAGCTTTAATCCACCCAGATGTCTTTGACCAAGCAATCAAAGCTGAAAAAAAATTCAAAAGTTTTGCCATAATTACTTCACGTGACTACCATCAATCTTGAACGATGGAAAACAACTGTCCCTACAATAGGGTATTTTAGACAGCATTTCCATACCAGTTCCCCTATTCAGCCAAACTTGTAGAGTTTTCTTGTCCTTCTGAGTTTCATAAGTCAGCGGAATGTTCCATGTATAACTATAAAAAACAATAGCAGATTGACCAAGATAAAGTTCAGGGGCATATTTAGCAGCTTATGGGTGATAGAAAATATTTGGCTTGGCTTGTATAAATGGTACTTTACTTTTTCTGTTAGACATATATTGAATCTTAAAATTACCGCTAAGCAGATGTGCTTGAAAATCAGTCATTTATGATCATTTATTTCTAAAGGATTCCTTAGTTGTGACTCCTTATCATTAAAACTGACGACCGAAGCGACATCGTTTTGGTTTTACGTATAGTGGCACTCAAATAATACGAGCAAGGAGTAATGTAAGCGAATGATGTAAGTAATAGAAATCTTATGAATGCAACTTACTTAAATTGAGATCTCTTTTGTGGTCTGGCACCAGAATAAATAAGGAATATTTTCTGGTCAGCGATTGCCTTATGTTGGTTCAGGCGCTTGATAGTAACAACTGGTAAACCCATTTGAAGTGTCCAGGTGTCCATCATTTCTTTTACGTTGATGCCACTTTTCTGGAAGACAAACAAGTAGAAAAGAGGAAAAAGGTGACCAGCGTATAGCATCAAAACCAATGTCAATTTCACGGCCAATCAGAAACAAGTGCCATCATCAAAAAGAGCTAATTAAGACACTGCACTCACCTAGCCGGCCTCAAGCCCAGGAGAAAGCCGTGAAACAAAGTCGCGACTGATTGAAATTATGTATCCTATCGGTTAACTGATTTGTTAAGAGGGTGGTGTAGTACATATACAAACCAAAAGTAATTCAGAATTGCTTTCGTCGTTAATTTGATTGCCGTATGCCGGCACGTTTGCGATAGAGCATGCATTTGGCGCAAGAGGAAAACCGTTATCATCATCATCATCGACAACTTACTTCTGACAACGTTCCCCACAGTTCATCGGTATCTGCGTTGCTATACGCATATCTTTGGAGGTATGACCGCAGACCAGCAGTAAAATGATCATGGCCGATGGTATTCTTTAACATTCGTATTACAGATGCTCCCTACAAAGCAAGCGACAGTTGTTGTGATGTTGCTTTAAGGTTTGTTTAATGTGCGCAGTTGTCATATCTGAGTGTTTGCATCACTTGTTAAATTTCTAACTCAGTCGTTATATCGGGAGGGTTTATTCAAACCTTTTCGTAAGATATAGAGTCAAATAAGCTGTCAATGTCCTTGGGATCTCTCACATCAACTGATATTGGATGAGAATAGCTCGACTGATCTTCACTGAAAGCCACCTGAAGTTTCTTTACAACAAATTGGTCCAACATACTCCAGTGAAGTTCAACAAAGCTTGCTCCTATGTTTTCCATGTACGTAGCAAAACCTTCATTCAACCAAAGATCGTTCCACCATTTCATAGTTACGAGATTCCCAAACCACTAAAACAAAACTCGTTCAAGGTTAGATGATGACCACCAAAATTATCGTATTTAGGAACTCCTACGGTGGCAAGTTGCCTTATATTGTATAGTTCAATTATTACAATCATGAATAAAGGCTGATAGTTTCTAAAGAAACTGTTTGGGGCTGCGTCGGTGGGGGTAACGAAATAATTTGAATATATCAACAAAGTTGAAATGGTAAATTGGCCACCGTTACGATTATAAAAGCTGACGTTTCGAGCGTTAGCCCTTCGTCGGAGCGAATAGGGGAATTGTGGGTTGTGTGTGCTTTTAAAGGCAGAAAAAGGAGCTACGTGATTGGTGGGAACATGGCAACGAGAAAAACACGAATAAACTAGTGGGATGAAAAGCGTTCGTTTAGTTAAATCCATCATTCTTAAAAACTTTAAATTACTTCAAAACGATCCAGAGACAAGCACTATCTTTTCGCAGCCTCCGCTCATTTCATTCAAACGCGACAAAAACATAGGCAATTTTTTGGTCAGAAGTTCTTTTCAGACTAATGACCAACCAGGCACTTTTAAATGCGCTCGTGCACGATGCAAAACGTGTCCTTTCATTCACAACACTGAGAAAATATCGGGACCCAAACGATCCATTAAGATCACCGATCACTTCACGTGCACCTCCGCCAATGTAATCTATTGCATAACTTGCACTTATTGCAAAAAGATTTACATCGGCGAAACAGGCAGAAGACTAGGTGACCGATTCCGAGAACACCTTCGCGACGTGGAGAGGAATGACAAGGACACATCGAAACCAGTCGCTAGACATTTTAATTTACCTAACCATTCTAAGCAACACATGGCAATCTGCGGTCTTTCCTTACACTTAGGTAGCACGGAAAGCCGGAAAACTCTTGAACAAAAGCTCATCTTTCAAACCGGCAGTCTAAATCCCACAGGTATCAACGAACGCTTTTCATTCCACTAATTTATTCGTGTTTTTCTCGTTGCCATGTTCCCACCAATCACGTAGCTCCTTTTTCTGCCTTTAAAAGCACACACAACCCACAATTCCCCTATTCGCTCCGACGAAGGGCTAACGCTCGAAACGTCAGCTATTACAATCATGACCCAGTTTCTCGTCGCTTCCTTGTCTTGCCGTCCTCAAGATGGACGGCTGGACCAGGGGTAGGTCAATGAGGTGCAATAAATGCAATTTCGGCTTCCAGCCCTAATAATCTGACTGGGCTTGCTAAAACTTTACAAGGGAGGGCCTAAACCTAACTTTGAACCTGGAGTTAAGTTTCTTGTCGAAGTAGGTATATTTTGCCAATCAATCACCAATATTCACTCATGATTTATTCGCTACCATTCCTTTTTTCTAAGGCTATTTACATCTCAGGAATATAATTTTCTGTTTACTGACCTGATGAGCTAACTCGTGTGTTACAGTCTCACAAACACTTTGTTGTAATTCATCTGATGTCTTACTACGATCAAAGAGGAGCATTGAGCTGGTAAACCCGATTAGTCCCCAGTTTTCCTCAGCACCAGTCGAATAGTCAGGAATAACAACAAGATCTACAGAAATTGTGATAAACAATTAGAAGGACCAAAGGAAAGGCCAAATATGTCCATGGAAACTATGAGGAAACATCAGTTCTGAAGCCCCCAGAATTTCAGAGGCACAGAAGCATAACTGTGTATTGACACACATGCAACTTCCCGAAATTTTTTCAACTTTTCTTACCTTGCTTGGGAAGAGGAAAATTTATCTGGAAGAATTTTTCATAATTTGAGAGAGTCTTTGTAGCAATATCTAGTGCATATGAAGCCTGAGCCAATTGCGGTGGTGGGGTCCAAATACGAACCTAAAAGGCGTAGCAAACTGTAATTAGAGACATTTTTCCTGTCACGTCAAAAACACTTAAACTTAAGGCTTCAAAAAAATGCAAATTATGAATTGTTTAGGACCTTAATACCACCGCTCGTTGTCGTCTCTTTGTGGGCGAAGTCGCTCACAAGAAATGCCACCATGTACGTGCTCATTTTAACTGATTCCTGGAAATGGTCCGCGAATAAATCATCTCCAACCTTGACCTGAAAGCAAAGACGTGTCGATCACGAACTCTTGGAAGGATTTGAGGGTTTATGCTACTTTCTTGTAAGTTTGTAAGTGAACCTAGTACCCTGTTCTTGCTTCCCATTAAAATTGAAACAAAGAACAAACAAAGAGACGAAAAACAAATTATAATATTCTCAGCAGGGACAAGGGATTGGGAAGGATCCTTCAAAAAATGTGCAAAGGGGCACGATTTCCCCCCAAAAAGGAACATTACAACTGCATGTGCGGATTGAGCAGCAAAGTGGCTCGAGATTTCCACATTTTAAAAACTGTGCTCTGTGCCGGTGTCGCTCTGTGTGCTATTGAGGACCTTTTGAGTTCCCAGATCATCACAACTTTTTTTCAAGTAGTCTGATTTTCACAAAATGAGTTATCGAAACAATCAACAATCACTAAAATTACACTCTCTCGCTGAAATTCTCCAACTTCTTTAAGATAAGAGTTTCAGTCTGCAAGATCTGTATGTGCAGTTTAGCAGCAGACGTTTATTCTGTAGGAAATTTAACCCTTTTCTCCTCACAATATCAATACAATTTATAAGAATAAAGAAAATATCCACTAAGGTATTATTAGGCCATCCAATATCAAATTCTCCAAACTAGGATCATCAGAATTTTATGAGAAACAGTGATCTTAATTTGGAGAATTTGGTGTTGGATCGTCTAAGAATGCCCTAGTTGATATTTATCTTTATTCTCATAGCTTGTCTGCCTACCTAAGATCTTGGGAGTGAAAGAATTAACACACGTTGTTATTTTTACCGTTTGCATAAGGGGCATATTTGACAGAGAAGAGTATTTTCCTTCCCTGATAATGGTAACAGAAAACTTTGCCTTCATTCCTGGCTCATCAAAACATGGAAACGCCGCTCGGGCGAAAGTCGGCTCAAATAATGTGGCTGCCAAATACCTAAGAAGAAAAAAAAAAGGAATGGGTACAAATAAGTCACGTGTCGTGTCTTTCTAAAGATTGACAGCTTGAATATACAACAAAAAACTACCAGATTGAGAATGTTATTTTGCAATTACTTTATGGGTCAGCTGCGCGATCATCATCACATGAAGTACCTGGGAAATTTGAGAGCACTCGCGTTGCTTTCAAACGGAAAACTTGGCTTAATCGGACTATAGTCGGGAGAATCGTATACTGATCGGCGCAAAAATTTTTCAGATCTTGAGATGTTTTTAATTGATGTTTTTCATGTAGTGAAGAACGAAGAGCCGTGTTGCATGTATGCTTCCAAACGATCCCAAGTCCTACCAACATCCTCACATAGAAACATTCAGAGAAATCAGAGGAACAAACACTGAATTCGCACAACAGAGCAATCGCTTTTACATGAGCGTTCGAATGGCAGAATTCAAATTTAAAGTATTCATGTGGTTTGTGGTCGAACACGCAAAGAACTTACAGAGGAACACTTAAAATGCAAAGGAAAATAAAGTAATTGTTAGAGCGCGAGTACAATGAAAGCACAGTGTGTTCACATTGTAAAGCTGACTTTTACAGAGTGGATTATTTAATTCATTAGATATAACATCTAAACAGAAAACCTGGTATAATCGGAGGAGAATCGGAAGAATCGTATAATCGGGAAAATCAGGGAATCGTATTGAATTCATGGAGAACTGGAATAATCGTAGAATCGGACGAATCGTGTAATCCGAAAATCGGAGAATGGTTTCAAAACTGGAGAAACAGAGAATCGGAAAAACTGGATGGCGACATTCATATTTTACTATTCTTCGATTTAGCCATAATTGCTCTCTTCTAAATGCCTTCAGCAGTCCGCTCCTTGAAAGCGAGGATTGGGTTAAAATTTTGTATTTTGACGTGACGTGCATAAGGCCTATTACCGCTATTAACAGAGGAGAAGGACATTTGTGAATATTCTTAATCGAGCGCTATTGATGGGGCAGAGGAATGAGGAAAGAAATTAATCACATCAAGGAAACAACCGAATCAGAGCGCAAATCAAACGACTGAGTCAACTAGGTAAGTGCTTCTACTACTGTACGTGGTCACTAACAATGAACAAGGAAACCATTCATTGCGGAAATGATCTTTGGAGCTTTACTCATTATAAATGAAAACAAAGAAAGCTACTTATGATATATAAATGATGTTGAGAGTCGCTCATCTGCAGAGACGCTGTCATCCACCTCAGTACGTGGCATAAGTTACGAAAAACATTCAATTCTGATTTGTCAAGCAAATAGTTATGAACTTGCTGATTTGGTTTTATCAACTGACTCGATGACGTGAAATGGCCACCGTAGAGAGATTATAAAGCTGACTTTTCAAGCGTGAGCCATTTGTCACTGCGAATGGATTCGCTCTAACTCATAATTATTGTATCACAGCAAGCACGTTATATTATGCACCATCACTTTACAGAGGCTGATATTAGAGACTTCGTTCAAATTAATCTCGGTGCAACGAATCATTTTATTTTATAACTTAAAAGACCGTAGCTTGTTTTACTGACCTTTTCACGCCACTCTTCGTCTTGTACGAACTTCTGTAGAATCCGAGAAGTTTGTCTGTCAGTGGATACTCAAATTCTATATAAATCGCGTAGTTTTTACGTTGCGTGAGCTCTTCACTGACTTCAATGAGAAACATTTCAAGAGTTCTATTTTGCATTGTCTTTGTGACTCTTATATCTCGACATCTGCCTCTTCCTCCGCTGTTTTCCCTCCATTTCTCCAGTTCTTTAACTCTTCCAGCCGATTTAAGAGGAAAGAGTTCTCTCCGTTGTGTAGTTTCAAACACGGCTGTCCTTGATACTTTCATGTCTTTTAAATGAAGAATAATATGTCTTGTTTGCTTCTCACAATTAACTTGTATGGTAACATTTCCTTTGACATTGAATGATTTCAAGTCAGTTTGCAGTGTGATTTTATAGCTAGTAGGGAATAACGTTCGTGGAAGTCGTATCGTATGCCATGGAAATTCCTGACCCTGTGATATCCTTTCATCTAGAGCGAAACCTCGGTGCCCTAAATACGACTCTGTTAACCCTGAACGCATCCAATAAAGAAGAGACCAGACCGCCCAAATTAGCTGCATGTTTGGCAGCAACATCTCATCAGCTCGTGTTATGTCCAAATGGAAAACAAATGATGGGTTCAGAACCATTCCATAAAGTACAGTTGATAAAGTTCTTGATGCTATGTAATTTCATATACTTTTAACTGCTGTTCGATTTTTTTCGCTCATTGCAAAACAGCCACCTCCAATTTGCATTGCAGATTTTCAGGTGACAAGTAACTGAGTAAACAACAATTACGTTGTCTCGCCACTTGAGTTGTGCTCACCATTGTCCATCACCGGGGAAACTGAGAAACGGTGATGATAATAAGAATACAATCATCTTATCCAAGGACGCTCTCCCAACGGTTCAAGGTTATTAAAAACAAAAGCTTTGGGTTCCAGTCAAGCCTATAAAATTATGATGTAAAGTGGGAGACGGATAATATCCCACGTTGGTGGCAGAATTGGCAGATTACTTCCCGTTATAAACTATATGGAAATATGCTGCACCCAGGGGAAAGATTTTTACATCCGTTTTTGTCCTATAAAGTAGGTATGAATTTTGATCTTTAGTTTCGGTATGGTTTAGAGGGGAACCTTACAGGTCTTTTTCCACTCCAAATGATAGTCAATAACAACGATATGACATTGGAGCCGAGCTTTAAGGCAAGTTTTACCAATTCTTGACTTCGGCACTGATGCGAAGTCTAATTACGCTACAACTGAGCATCTGAAAGGTTCGCAAATCAACGGCAATTTTAGATGTGGGGTTGAAGTTGGTATTGATCATGTTTATATTTGAAAACGGTTGAAAAAAAATTTTATGTTTTGATTCGAAATAGGGCAAAGATTTGGAGACCCAAACATCAGGGTAAAGATTGGCAAATTAAAAGTGTGAAACCGATAAAATAAGGAACTGTGCTCTTTTGTCTATTTCTGAGTCATTAGTGTTAGCGGTGTGCCATATGATTTCAAAGCCTTAAGTGCCATTATCTAGAATAAATGGACCATGTGTACATGGGCTGAAATTCTGAAGAAAAAAACACTTTCCATTTCCACCAATAGATCTGTAGTTGACACAAGGAATTCTAAACACCAAATCGTTTATCAGAACGATGAAGAACAATGTGTGGCCTAAATTTAGGAAAAAGGAATTCTTGTAAGCTAGGTTTGGTGGGTCTTGGTGACAACACTAATTTCAGTTCTTTTCCCCAAAAGCTTGCTTTTCAACAAGTTTTAGACCAAGGGGTCTTTAAGTAGTATGACAGAAAGATATTGTCTTTCATCAGAACTTTGCCTTTTGTGTGAGTCAACAAGTACGTGTGCGATAAGCTTTTATGTCGAGTGAGTCAAAACGATATCAAGCTGTGCATTAGTTTTGCCTATCACACAACGAAGTACGTCTAAAATGAGAATACGAACCGGCATCTCAATAAACACGAATGATCCAACACGCTATGCTGGCCGAGATGGAAAATTATTAGACACTAGTCAGCCATCTGATCAGTCAGCTCAAAGGATATGTTTGGTGCTGTCCGTTTATAACAGTGCTCCTGATTGGACAATTCAATCCATGAAAGTATGCCCGAGTACAAGCACATAACCTACACGCTTCTGGTAAAAGGTATAATGGTTTGAATACCGGATTAAAATAAGATAAAATGCAGACGTACGTAGAAAAAACCTACAGACAGCAAATTTTAACCTTCGTCAACGATGCTAAAAAAAACCGGCTTACAGTAAGAACGAAAACAGCTTGGGCCTATTGTTCAATGTGGTCTTATCAGACCATCTGTTTCTCTAAGATTATTATCAAGAGCCCCGACGAAAAAAAAGGACAAGAAAAAAAAGGAGTGGCAAACTATTAATGAACTAACTTGTCGTAAATCAAACAGAACAGTTATAAATGAAGTTGAATATTGTGGCCAAAAATCGGAGAGCTCGTTGGAAGCTGCGGAGATCTTCAATACATTTCTCTCGGAAATTGGTACAAATCTTAGTAAGGATGTTGCAGAGGCGACCGTTAGCTATTCCGAATTTCCAATCGAAACTGACAAACTGTTTTCCTTTTGTGAAACCACCCCTGCACATGTTTATTCGCTTTTATCGAAACTTTCCAGATCTAAAGCAACTGGCCCCGATAATATCCCCGCCAGACTCCTAAAGGAAAGCCCCGATTTAATCTGTGAGTCGCTATCATTGATATTTAATCAATCATTTAAAACAGGTGTATTTCCGAATGATTGGAAAAATGCTAGAGTCTCCCCTCTCTACTAAAATTCAGGTAAGCGCAATGATCCATCCAATTATCGCCCCATTTCAGTAATTCCTGTGGTAGCAAAAGTTTTTATGCGGATAATCTATGATCAACTGTCTGTCCATCTTACGAAGTATAATCTTCTTTCCAAACATCAGTCCGGTTTCCGTTCATTACGCTCGACGGTTACGGCTCTTGTCGAGGCAACCGATAGCTGCGCTGTTAATACAGACCGTGGATTGATCAATACTGTTGTCTTCTTAGATTCAAAGAAGGCATTTGATACAGTCGATCATGAGATTCTTTTATCTAAGCTTCGTTCGTACGGAATTCGTGGACTAGCTTTGCGTTTGTTTCGCTCCTATTTAGTTGACCGAACACAGATCTGCCAAATCGATTGTTCTAAATCGACGCCAAAGTTCCTTAATTGCGGTGTGCCTCAAGGCAAGATTCTGGGCCCGCTTTTATTCTTACTCTATATTAACGATTCACCTCAGTGCCTTAATTTTTCTAATCCTCGAATGTATGCTGGCAAAGATTTAAACGAAATTGATGATTATCTTAACAAAGATTTGAAATCTGTTAATACCTGGTTGTCTTCTAATAAACTCACATTGAACCTGACTAAGACCGAGTTCTTAATAATAACTTCAAGGCAAAGGCGAGTTTACTTGTCAGACAATGTCTCTTACCATTAATAATTTTCCCATTGAGCAGGTGTCGTCAACAAAGTCTCTCGGTGTATTTATCGATGAAAACTTAAGCTGGAATACCCATATAGAATCTGTTTGTAAGAACAGTTCTCGTTGCCATGTTCCCACCAATAACGTAGCTCCATTCTCTGCCTTTAAAAGCACACACAACCCACAATTCCTCTATTCGCTCCGACGAAGGGCTAACGCTCGAAACGTCAGCTTCTGTAATCGTTACGGTGGCCAATTACCATTTCAACTTTGTTGATATATCCAAATTATTTCGTTACCCCCACCGACGCAGCCCCAAACAGTTTCTTTAGAAACTATAAGCCTTTATCTATCTATCTAGGAGCCTCAGAAATCGGAGGAGGGAAGGGAGGGGGGGAAGGGAGCGGGGGGGAGCAGGAGGAAGGGAGTCGGATCCACGGGCGCCGACGAAATTCCCGCGCGCTCGCTTTACGTTTTCAACCTTAAGTGAACAAAAAACCACAAGGCTGTGTACAGCCGAAATAAAGAGCAAAACAGCTACATCTTCGACATGAATAGAGCAAAACAGAATAGAGGAGGAAAAATCTTTTATTTGATAACATTGTGCAACAAGTTCAACTTAACCCACATGAATTAAAAACATCAAAAGCAAGGATGAAGTGTTCCTTACTGAACACTTCAATTCGTCAAAGTAGCCCCCAACTTTACTGTAAAGGAATACATCATCTAACATCAACAAGAAGAAAAGCTGACAAGGTCTCCTTGGTCATACAACCAAAGGATTTGAAATACCATCGTATCCTTCAGGATAATAAAGCTGGTTTGTTAGTTTATTCTAGCCTTGGCCTGTGTTGCAAAATGGTTACCTCTCTTCTTCGTTCCTTATTTATAATGGACAGTGCTGTATTAATTGTTATTCATAAACGCTTTACTTTGAAGTTCCCATTACTAAGGAAGGGCCATGTATTTTTTTTGAATGAGGGGACAATTTGTTCCACAATCCAACACGTCCAAAGATAAGGCCAGTTAAACTGTTTACAAATAGGGACCAAACTTGCGTATTAATTTCCACTTGAACTCCCCACCTTACAACCAAAATCAAGACAAAACTTAAGAGCAATTTTCGATTACATTATAATTTTCACGCATTAAAATGTGCTTGGAAATAGGCGACTATGTTGACTTCCCCACGAGACCTTATCGCTAGGACTATTTCGCTTTTAAATCTCCACAACCAATGAAAACAATCAAGTGTCTCAAAGTTTTAGAGTCGCCGCTCCAGCTAAAAATGTTCGCCAAATAGCATTTAAGACCAACTGAAGCTCACTTTTAGTGCCTTAAATCCCCAGAAGTTTCTTTCGAGGAATGAATTGAAGAATAAATAATAATATATGTAATATATTTCGCTGATCCTCTTACAAACTTTTTATTCCACCCAACCAAATAAAAAAATAAACAATTGGAAACCTCCCACATGGAGAGGAAAATCTACAACTAAATCCAAAACATACAAGCAACACTGAGTTAAAAAATAAAAGTTAAGCCACATTAGCTACTATTTTATTATTATTTTCACAATCCAATCATGCACTTTCCAATTAGGTTAATTCATTTAAAGATTTCAAGAGAGTTATACATTAAATTCACTACAGAAAATCCCGAGGAAACCATGGTAATTCTTACATTCACACTAGATCCCTTTCGGGTTTCAGTAAACTGTACTTATTCTTATCTGGCCTTTACACCAAATTCATGATCTTGAAAAATTACAAAATTAAACTGACGCAAATCAACAATTATGATCTAGAGTGAAAGATGGCCTTGTAAACAGAAACTGAAAGGCAACCCGAGAGATGCGAGCGAGATTGTAAGAATTTCAGTGGTTCACAGCATGATTTACTGTAGCCCAGGAATTAAAGTACAGTCCAGCTTATTTAGAAGGTATAACTCTGTCGAGTGCGAAGTGTGAAGTTCAATGTACTCCTGTCCAGCGAAATTCCTCAACAACTTTTTAAAACTAAGCCTAAGGTCAGGAAAATCTAACTTTCATTGTCAGTCGACGGTAGGGTTTGGCTGGTTCAAGTTTTAAATCCACAGAAGGCAATTATAGTGATGCACTCTTAGCATACCACAAAGTTATACCATCTAAATTTAGCCAGCTTGACCGAGTGAAACAGAATTCAGTATTTAAGGCCGTCCATATTTGTATCTCTCGTCTAAGCTTGTTACATGTACATGATGATGTGGGCTATCGACAGGTGAGTGAACATGGGAGCTGACGAAATTTTTAAGCCAGGCAACAACAGTGAGACGGTGGGCATTCAGCCATTTGACATTAGCTTCTATGCTTTCCAAACTTTGAAGTAGAGCCAACTTGCCTGAGCCTGTATCTTTATCCTTGAAAAATTTCTTCACCTGAAAAAATAAAAAAATTAAAAATTAAGGGAAATCGGACTAAACGCACTCCACATGGTGTAACAAGATAAATGTGAAAGTATTTATCAGCTCGATAAACATGAACTTAGTGATTTTCATCTCATAACTTCACTCAGTGTTATAAAACCACTGTTTTTAAAAGCGTTCAAATTACTCGTCGATGCAGTTTCTTTAAAGAAGCAACTTACTAAAATTAAAACTTCGCCAGACTAATTAGGTTAGAAAGGTTACGAAGTCATTTCATTGTTATGGTTATTTGTAATAATTTGTTATAATTTGTGACTTTTTTTTAACTTTTCCAGCGTATTGTTCACTTTTTCTTTAGACTGATTTCAACCTGTCAACATTGATTGCTAACTTTATCTTTATTATTACATATTTTAACTGATAGATGTAATCATTTCTCTAAGGGCTTCGCTAATACAATGTTTTTTTTTTAATTAAGGAGTCACCATGTCAAAATACAGGAATCTAATCTCTGTGGAAATGATCAGACTGCTGGATGACAAAGCTTAAGTAAGTACGATAGAAGACATAGTGAGTTCAAATATTTCCTTACTTCCCGTAACTTCGTCTCCGTGTTGAAGTGCGCTGTGGTAGCCTTGATGAGACGACTGAATTCGAAAGAACCTTTGCCATATCTTGATAGAGGGAGCGAAAAAACACATCAGCGTCATACAGTAGATGGCTGGTGCTATTCACAGCTCAATTTTTTTGGACAACTATGCTTTAGATTCGCCTACCTATTGAAGAGTAAATCGTAGTTCTTCTGCACAAACTCCCACGCCAATAGGCGACCTTCCGGATTGTGGGCTATCGAATTAATAACAGCTACGGAGTCCTGAGAACGAATCTTTTTCGGGTCCAAAGAATCTTGAAGAAAACTGAAAGAATCCATAAGAAGAAGAAAAAAGTTCAATCTAAAGGTTTCCTTGTCTTGGAGTATAGGTATTAATTGTTGTGCGTAGCCTATTTGCGAGTGCGATCTTGACTCTGAATCGGTGAAACACTTCTTGTATTGCGCAAGGTATGCCGGTCAACGCAATCTCATCTGCTGCGTATATCCTTGGTCAAACATGGTCATCGACCAGCGATATAAGGAAATTCAATTCTCTATTCTAAGGAGTTCAGTCTATAAATTGCGATGTAAACTGTGCTTTTTTCGCTAAGTACAAAGTTATTTAAATTCGCTTTTCGATGGCCATTGTTTGATTGTTGAAATAATATATCCCTTACTGTGTAAGTTTACGTTTTTGTGTGCGAGACTGTATAAAATAAATCAAAGTAAATGTAATTTTATAATTCCTAGATAAGCCTAGGTGCTTTTGGGAAAAGTAATAACAAACATGTTTAAATGAAGGGGAAAAAAAAACTCATCGTACCTCTTTAAAATTTGTGGGTTCCGACTGCTTGTGAGCGCGTACATCAACTTTCTCTTTTCAGTTGCGACTTGCTCTTTTCGGAAACGCTCGAATACCTTCTGCCATGTTTTTATATCTGCATACTTCACACCCAGGGAATAAACTACATTTCTCAAGTTTGGTCGGATCCTAGGTACAACCACAACATTGTTATTATCTACTTGAAAGTGAAACTTGTACATGCAACTGAAGCACACAACTAGAGGAGCTTGACTAATATCCACTTAATACAGGATATACGCCCTAATCAAGCTAGCTAAGAAGATAAGATATCTCAAATATTTCCCAAAGATAGTAGGCTTGCTTTATCTTTTACAACTGTAATAACGACGCATTTTTTAATAACCTACGCATTCAGTGATGAAGGCTGCGGCATTTTGTAACAATCGTCAGTCTATGCAATTTGGAATAAAATTCTGCAGCAGTGAAAACAAAACAAAAACACTGAAAATATCACATGGGTAGCTGCTTCAGCAAAAATAAAGAGAAAATAAGAATACTAACGATTCTCCGCGGTTCAACCAGCCATCAAACTGCCGTAAGGCTTCCTTCGTATACGGTCGATCATCGGGAAACACATCTTCATAATCACTTGCGAGGTGCAAAATTGTGGCGCGAAGGTATCTGTAAAAAAATATTCATGATTGAGGCCATAAGTTCGAGATTAAGGAAGGCCAATAGGCAGCAAAAAAAAAAAAAAAGTCTTTTTATAGGATTACACAATTACTGGTGAACCAGTAGTTTCCATTGTGGTCCTTGCAAACAAATGAAACAAATGGTCTAAATTGAACATAACATCATTAAGAACCCCAACTGGCCGGAGGCAAACCAGTTGGCTATTTACAAGCGTGGCCAAGGATCTGAACTCGGGGCTACCGTGAAACAAATCCAGTGGTCAGGGTGGAACTCGAACCCGGGAGAGGCGGATTACGAGTCCGACACTCTAACCACTCGGCCACACTGCCTCCGTAATAGCAGCAATAGAAAATGCGCCAAAAGCATAAAATAATTCTATAATATTCACCTTTTCAAATGCGGATCCAGGTCAGTTTCTTTCCAACCTAACTCGGAAGCTATTCTGTGAATCTGAATCAAGATGTAAAGCTGAAAAGAGGACAAAGAAGACATGCATGAGGAAAACAGAAAAAAAAAAAAAAAAACATGAGGAGGCCATTTATCTGTTATAACCTAGTGAAACTCTTACAACATTAAAATTGATTACATAAACACAAGTGTTCGTATAATTTTTACGAAATCGGAAGCCTATTGACCATATACAGACTAGTGCGTAAACTGATGACGCTATTACATGGCGAGTAATAGATTTCTGTAGTTGTGATGCTGCGGCATAGAATCTTTCTCTAAGTAACTTGACACTATATGGAGAGTATTCCTTGCAAATGAATACAAAGGCATAGAATCTTTCTCTAACTTGACACGAAATAGAGAGTATTCCTTGCAAGTGAATACAAAGGCATAGAATCTTTCTCTAGGTAACTTGACATTATATAGAGAGTATTCCTTGAAAGTGAATACAAAGGAGGGGGATTGAGGACATTTTCGCTGCCGAGCTATCAGAGTTTGGGATAAGGTTTGTACTTTGCCATTTTTGCCCTACAACTGTACATCTACGTGAAAAGAAAATGTCAATGGCTAAAGGATATAAAGTTTCATTTCTCGTTTAAAAATAATGTTTCACTCACTGGCTATGCTCTTCCGTCAAATATTTTGTAGCTTCTCTAAATTGTGATATTTCGCGCCACCGTTCAAGACCAAGACCCTCTTGGTGCGTGACATTTTTTCATTTTAACATTTAAAACGCGAGTGATTCTTGTCAACTAAGTATCTCGAATCAGTCTCTTACCAAGACACAACGAAACTAACCTTATATATGCGATAGTACTGGGTATTTTTTTCCATATCGTACGTTGAAAACTGTGAGGCGAAATAAGCCATGCCGTTAAGCGCCGATATCCATGGCACATATTCCTGTTCTTTACTGAGATAAGCAGTGAGATCTAACGCCAGGTTATAACTCAGATTACCGGCCCTGTATCAAGCCAACCAAATATAAATGACGTTAGTTTTGTTTTCTCTGCCGCTATGAAATAAGAGACAGTAGCAGAGGTCTGCATGCTACAGTTACTTACCGAGCAAGGTTAAGAGCGTCATCCAGTAGGCCTGCGCGATCAGCACCAATCAATTGCTAGAAGAAAAGGAAGCGTGTTTAGTGCTTCGCCTTGGTCTTTACGGTGAAAATCATTCACTTGACTGGGCGGATCAACTGAAAGGTGAAAGCTTCTGATCATGCTTAATTATGTTTCACCTTGATGATAATTTACCGTATGGTCGGAGTTCAGTTGTTCCTTAAGGCTGTTCCAGTTTCCCTCATCATAGTTCACACGGTAATATCCACTCTGTCCAGCATTCATCTTGATCCAAAAATTACCAACAGTATTCGGAGATACGCCCCGTAACAAAACTTAAAAACAAAGACAAAGATAGCGCTCGACAGCAAAACCAGAGAAGCTTACACACTACAAGTCACAAATAAGTGAAACAGAGAGAATGTTTTGTGTTTGTCTTGAACCTTATCAAAGTGTTACTGTTTCCCTTAGGAATCGCTACGTTACGACTGTAATCCAAGTGTCTTCTCATCTGTAGACAGCCACGATACAATAGATTTGCCGTAATTTGCGGTAGCCTGTTCCTCGCATTCAGCAAGTAAAACTTAGCAAAAAACTGTGCGAATTATATGCAGTAGGGGGCGCGAAAGTAGCGGAGGGTCTGGAGAGGGTGGCAGGGCAAAAAACAAGGGAGGTTTGAGTCGGGTCTTACAAACTGATCGCCTGCAACAAGCTTCATAACAGCAGACGATCTTGAAAAGAAAATGCAACAGTAACGGAGGAGGGGAAGAAGGGAAAGGTACATAGCCTTAAAAACCCATCAAACTACATTTACTTATGAAAACGGGACGGTAAACTTGAAGTATCTGGCCTCGGTTGTTCAGAAGATGGATAACGCTATCCACTGGATAAATTGCTGTCCGGTAGGATACCTCAGTACGTTTTGTTGACACTTCTCCGCCTTTTGAACAACTGGGCGCGGCCTGTTAGAAGTGTTGATTTTGTTACAAACTGCAATATTAACGAAAAACTACGAACAACTCCAGGAATTGAATCAAGCTAACATCAGCCGTTGAAAATTACAGGAAATCTGTTTGAAGTGGTCTCGAAAACTTAGATGAGTATTGTCGTAGTCCTGAATAAAGCCTTACCATTATCAGCTTGGCGCTTTAACAATTCAACATGTCTCTTGGAAGGATTCTGCTGAGTCACATATGTCAAAGGAATTACCCAACGATAACTGCGACAAAAATGAGAGCATTACGCGAATAAGATCCACTGATTAAACCTCAAAGACTTGCATAACAAAGCCGTTCAATGATTAACCAGTCGAAAAAAACTTACGCAGAGTCTGATGGGGAACTAGTACCGGGATGGACAAGAAAGCGCTCCTGTCGGTACTGGAGTCTTATGTTGCCATTGGCATCTCTCTCAACTGTTACATCAATAACAGGAAAGCCCATCTGACTTGTCCAAGTTGTCATCATTTCTGTAACATCAAGGCTTACACCACTTTCCTGTCAAGATTACAAACTTAGTGGTCAGGAAGGACAGGAAATTGGAACTTAATGGAACCTATGACGAAATGTTGGGGAGCCACTCTTCCCACTACATGATTTGGTTTTATCAACTGCGTTGATTACGTACATGTAAATTGGCCACCGTAATTTGTTCTAAGCTGACGTTTCGAGCGTTAGCCCTTCGTCAGAGGAATTCTTTTAACTAGTTGTTTAACTCCACCAAGCTATCCAAGCAAAGCTCTTAACTAAACTTACTTTTAACACATTTTTCTCCTCCACAAGAGTCCAAAGAACAAAACAAATACAGCACACTTTCGTACTTGGTACGTAAGTTAATCATAACAAAGGGCTGTTTGGATAAGTTTACCTTGACTTCATCTGTGAGGCATTGCCATAGGTCATTAGTCTCTGCATTACTAAACTTGTACTTATTAAGGTAGTTCTGTAATCCTTGAAAGAAAAGTTTGCTTCCGAGAACATCCTCCAACATCCTAATAATAGCAGCACCCTGTCATACAAAATTAAAATATTGGATTTAAAAATTTAAAGTAGAAGGGGAGAACAGTAACATGTGCACGTTTGGGGAATTGGATCAGTTACTAAGTGAAAACAATGGCAGGCCATGATGGCACAGCAACATCTTTGAATATCAGAATTACAAAATATCAATGCAAAGCATGCAGACTGCGATTACAAATATGCTTGTTTATGCAATGATGAATAACATAAAGAAATTGGTTATTGTTTGTGCATATTCTATTCGTTGTTAAAACAAAAAAATATAAATTTTGTATTGAAGAACAAAATGATAAACTGCATCCTTCCTTTCCAATTAAAATAATTTACATTCAGAAACTACACATAGCACAGTACAATATGAAACATCCGTTGTGTCATACCCTTTTTCTACAAGAAGCAGCTTTAAAGGGAAGATAAACCATATACCATACTTGTTTCTGAAGAGCTGGCTTCTTAAGTTATAGAAAACAGGAAAATGCCTGTCTTGACTTGGAAAACAATAAGTGAAGGAGAAGGAAAAGGAAAAACACGCCGGAGGAATAGGGGCTCATGTCCTTTGGGGACCCAGTTGTTTTCTGCTGGTTACTGAGAAATCCCTAAAGAACACTGCATATATCCTTATCAATTAATACATTAAAGCCTTTACAGATGACATTTCTGCTTGTGCCTACCTTGTCATATGAAATTGAATCAAACAAAGAACTAATCTCAGCAGGGTCTCTCACTTCAGCCATGATGGGATGAGAATTACTGAGTTGATCCAAACCCATTGCAACTTGAAATTTGCTCAAAAAAAACTGGTCCATCATTTTCCATTCAGGGCGGACATGCCTCACTCCAACATTCTCCATAAAACTAGCAAATCCTTCATTGAGCCATAAGTCATTCCACCATTCCATGGTAACCAAATTACCAAACCACTGTAAAACAAGTGTTGACAGATGTATGTAGGTAACATTGGTGAAGTTGTAACTTTTACATCTAACAGCCACAAAGATATTCATATATCTAATAGTTTTTGTTGGTCTTATGAAGATAGACAGAAAAATAATTCAAATCATACTCTTGAAGTTTGGTGTAAATCAAACATTTTCGATTTTTTTTGGTGTATTTCATAATAATACCTTGAGGAAACAGTCGTTTTGATTCTTGGCTGAATTGACAATTTTTCACACACTACGCTGTATTATGCACACATTTGATTGGTTATTACTTATGATCTATTTGACATTTTGCTTTTTTATCATACGAAAGACTGAAATAAATTATATGTTGCCAGGAGTCTGCAGAGTTATACAAAGTCATGTAATAGATTACAGAACAAATAAAAATATAGTAAGAACATCAGTGGCCTCACATGCCTCTTTTTTGTTCTTACAATGTACAACAATTGATGCCATCGTTATCTATTACTGGACAGATGCATGGCAACTTCAAATCTTTTTGTTGACTGGATAGTATTTCAATGAAAGTCAAAGCAAAAAATTTGGACATGTCCAAAAATCAAACACTAACTTGAGTTGGCTATCACTTTTTTTTAACTAAAACATTCAGTTTTGCAACTGTGTGGGGTATATTAAACAATGAAAACTTTATAGATTTAACCTGATGAGCCAACTCATGAGAAACAACCACTGTGACCCATTGTCTGTTGCTGTCTGATGACTTGCTGGGGTTATACAGGATTGAAGTCAAGCGAAATGTAATAAGACCCCAGTTTTCCATTGCTCCCATGGAAAAATCCGGAATGGCAATGAGGTCTGTATACAATATTATCACAGTCACAACAAAATATTACACTTAATAATTGTTTCATTGTTAAGAACTGTTCATAAAATTGTCCTTTACCATGTATGTTAACATTTACTATCTTAAAAACTTTTAAATAATGATTCTCTCATTAGAGCAAAGGCCTGCATATAGGCAAAGGCATGTTTTAGTTAGGCCTGCCTTGTTACTGGATAATAAGTTAACGACAATTCTTAATGAGTTTTAGGCAAATACTGTTTTTTTAGAGCAGGAATCATTTTAGTACTCTACTGCAAAATGGTAAATATAAAGTACAACATGCAGCTTAAATCATAAGTCACTTCATGAAACTCAATAACACTGTCTATGTTGTGCACACCCACAACTGCAGGGAGGGTCCCACCTCCCGGTTAGCTCAATTGGTTAGAGCGCTGGACTGTTGTGCAGGAGGTCGAGGTCGATGGTTTGAGCCCCGGCCGGACCAACACTCAAGGTCTTAAAATAACTGAGGAGAATGCGCTACCTTTCTTTAATAACAAATGGATAGACATTCTAGTCTTCTCAGATAAGGACGAATAAACCGTAGGTCCCGTCTCCTGCATCTATTAATTAGATAATTTGGTTAGGCAGGGGACGTTAAAGAACCCACTCACCAGATTACTGTGACATGGTCTGGCCTGTTTACTGGGAACTGGGGGGAGGGGGCATCTTCAAATAAGTTTCCTTCGATTGTTTGTAAACTGCTGATGCAGTCTGGCCAAAGTCCCCCGAACAGTGGTGTGATGAGCATTTGATCATATCGACATGTTAATTTGCGCAATATAAATATTAAACTATTACTATGCCATGCAAAACATCTTAGAGTTATCAAGTTCTAATAAGCTGGTCCCTCATCTACTTCCAAAAAGTCCTCATATGCAGGCGTTTTCAACACTTTAAAAAGTCAGTAGTTACAGGTGTAATGGTACAGTGACCATGTAATCTTCATTTTTTTAATATTTGCTTCTAAGAACTTTGTTACATCCAGGGCTTGATCACTTCCACCGAGTGCATTATTTGAAAAATAATACTCCTTTTTTGGGGAGGAGGGGGCAGATATTTTGGATTGTTTTAGTTTTAACACCAATTTGAAGGGTTAAGTTAACACTCGCTTGAAAATTCATGCAAGACATTGTACCTTGAGACTTAACTTTTTAACCAACAAAGTTTTAGAATGTGTTTTAAGCTACAGTATGAGTTTTTAGCTCATGAAAGAGGAAGAAAACTTGCGTCTATTTCAAATTTAGCATTGACTCTACAAGCTTATTTTAAGTGAACAATGTATTTCCTGGTGACTTACATTTATAATTTCTCAAATTAATGTTCGAAGAAATTTAATCAAAACAATTTTGGGTGAAAAAAATTCTTCTTAATATAAACTTAATTGAATAAACAAAAATGATATTAAAGGTTGGCAATTCAATTTTAAACCTAAATCAATTTATATTGCTTATCATTAGAAGTAAAATAAAGTTTAATGCTACAGAAACGTTTCATAGAAAGTGCCAAAGAAAACAAAGAAACAAAAAATACCAATCACAATAATCCTTGCAGCAACAAACAAACGGTCAGCAGTGGTTGTTTCACAAGTCAACAACAAGACAGCAAGAAAAAGACAAACGCCTGACTTGGAGAATTCTAACCTAAGAAAATATAGAATACACAAAAACAAAGACAATTTGAAATTTGTTATTTCAATTTGTTTTTATTTTTGTGAGATGAACAAACCTGGTGAGCGAGCTCATGAGCAACAACCACAGCAACCCACTGCTTGTTAGAGTCAGAAGATTTTCCCTCATCATACAATAATGACGTCAAACGGTAAGTGATCAAACCCCAGTTCTCCATGGCTCCAGCAGAAAAGTCGGGTATAGCTATGAGATCTATTATACATAATGCCATGATACCATATCATTGTCAAGATTTCCATTAGAATAAATATCCTTATCTAGATAGAATACAGAAGTTACTTTAATATGTTAGCTTCTTGAGGGAATGACTACTTATCTTTGTCAACTTCTTATAAGCATTTTCATTGCACTCCAACTTAGAAACTAATGAACTTATTTCATAAGTAATCGTGAAGAATACGTAAATAAATAAATCATATAGAGTTAGCTGATTTAATATAGAATACGTAAATAAATATATCATATGGGATAGCTGCTGACTTAAAGAATACGTAAATAAATGTTTCATATAGGGTAGCTGATTACATAAAGAAAATGTAATTAAATAAATCATAAAGGGTAGCTGATTTAATAAAGAATACATAAATAAATAAATCATATGGGATAGCCGATGACTTAAAGAATAGGTAAATAAATGTATCATATAGGGTAGCTGATTACATAAAGAATAAGTAAATAAATATTCGTGAAAAAATTAATGAACAAGTACCTTGCTTCGGAAGTGGATAGTCAACCTTGAATATCTGTTCATAATACTCCAGAACCTTTACAGCAACATCCAAAGCAAATTGACCTTGATCAATCTGCTCTGGTGGAGCCCATACGCTGACCTAGGAAAATAAAATTATCAAACCCAAATAAATGGCCACAATGAGAATGTTTGGGTGGAAACCAAAAAAATTCAAATTTACCACATGAACTCTGGGCTTATGGTAAACTTTCCACACTAAAACAAAATTTAAAAATATCCATATAAACAAACTACTTTTTCTTTCCTGTTTTGACCTATTTCAATTGCCCAGGGGAACAAATGGGCCCCAAAAATAGTGCTCTTCCCGAAATTTTCTCTACACAGTAAAATACACATGTATAATGCCTTTTCATAGAGACCTCTCTTTATTGAAACAAATTCCTAATCATGACCAATCCACTAGTTGAATATGCATAAGAGCACAAAGAAAAAAATAGGCAGTTTTTGTTTTGTGGGTACTGTTTTGGGTAAAGAAGGCCTAACAAATTTAGCTGCCTGTACATACATGTACCTATAATCAATTTTCAGTTATGCTGTTATTACATTTTGAGTGTGAGGCTAAATAACCTCAATGCATAACATTAAGGTGATGATAGAAACTACCAACAGACATATCCTAATTTCCTCTAGCATGAGAACTGCATGGACAGGGGCATCAGCAACTGGTAAATCTCATTTTACCATTTGCCACCTCTACTGTTGACTGGCCACTGCACCAAAATGCAAAATGTCCACCTAATCCACTACAGTATTGAAAATTAAGAGTCTCCTTCCAGTGATTATCTGTACGCACACTGCACACTTGATGTTAAGTGTAAATGATGTCTAAAATTTAAGTGAACATATACATGTAAGGTGCCTCTTGGATGAACTCTTGGTGATATTTTAAAAACATACCTGAACACCTTTGCTTGTTTTACTTGTTATGCTATTGAAGTCACAGACAACAAATGCCACAAGGTATGTGCTCATATCAACACTCTTCTGAAAATGGTCTGTGCAGAGCTCAACATCACTGTTACACTGGAATAAGAGAAATTTTAAAAGCTAGGATACAAAAGCTGTGAAGCAAACAGGAAAGATGGTAAATCTACCATGCATCTGCAGACAACTTATGATACAACTAAATTGTGTGCAGTAAATGCTTAAACTAATACAAATTTTACAATTTCAGAAAGTTAACCTACCCCTTCAGTATAATTAAGTGGCATGTTTGCTAAAGCCACATGGCGCTTTTCTCGTGTGATGACAATTGTGAACTTTGCTTTCATGTTAGGTTCATCAAAACAAGGGAAGGCATTTCTTGCATCCGTTGGTTCAAAGTGGGTTGTTGCAAGATATCTGGGAACCAAAAATAGTAAGTAATGTGTATAAGTATAAAATGAACCTAAGATGACACTACATGCAAAATATCATTTGTTTGTATATCAACATCTCTGGGGAAGAAAGTGTGTGGTACATGAATATTCCAAAAAAAAAACATGAGCATTTTATGTTCAAAAATTAGTTTAGATGTTAAAATATCCCCAATCTAGCCCTGGCCAAGGGGTAACAACTGATGTCAAAATTATCTAGTCAAAGCCTTCTATGCAAGGAAACCTCCAATGGTAAAACAAGTTGTCATTAAATCAAATGTCTCAAGTTATAAAGATTCGTTATGAAAAATTGGGAAAAATGAACCAAAATGTCCAAAAACTTTAAACAAATACAAGCAAAATGAATGCTTGAATTTCCCTCAAGGCTCTATTTTGGTTTATATGACATTACTCAGTTTCCACTATTACCATCACACAATAGCTGTGTTTTTTTGGATGAGTCCCTTGAGGATCATGCAGGTATTGGCAGCAAGAGTAACACTCCCTACACCTGAACATGATAACACACCCCAACATGGCAACACACCCCAACATGATAACACACCCCAACATGGCAACACACCCCAACATGGCAACACACCCCAACATGATAACACACCCCAACATGATAACACACCCCAACATAACACACCCCAACATGATAACACACCCCAACATGATAACACACTCCAATTCCACTTTGTAAAGTGCCAGTATCTGTTCCCATTTACTCTAAGTTGCATTAAGTATTTCATTCCCATTACAGACCACAATTTTTACTTAAATATAATTTTTGATAATTACCAACAATGTACATATAGACAGAAATACATGTACATGTAAAACAAACAAGTGATTCTTCAGTGATTCAATATTCGGTTAAAAATCTGAAGGAGTGCATGGTACCATTGTTGCATACTCAATGTTTGGCCTTTGCTTTATTTTCAATGGATAAAGAAAAATTTTGCTATTACTTCCTGTTGACTGATAATCACAGTGAAATATAATATGACAATGTAAAACACTTCCTTGCCGAGAAAAGCTGCCATAAGATTGAAGAATGCAGTTCAGATCACAAGTACAATTAAAAGCCAAGATTGAAAGATTCTTGCACAAAACATGGCACATGTAGATTAGCAACTAAGTCAGTAAAGATTTTATTTAATGAGGGTAGCACTAAAATAGTAAAGAATACTAATAAACCAGTGGCCCTCCTAGCACTAAAAATAGAATAAAAATATTAGAGATATTAAAAACTATGGCTTAACAACATAAAAATGAGCTATGAAAATTACAGAGTAAAATGATTTAAAACCTGTTTTAAATCATTTTACTATATTTAATATTAGTAATATTGACTATTCAATATTAGTAATAACCTCTCTATACGAGAAGAAAGAAATGTTTAAAACAAAAACGAGCATAGGTTAACTTTACAAATTATGCTATCGCCATGTCCTATCACACAACATTCAATTAATATATAACTACATGAGGTTTTTTTTCATCTTACGCCAGACGGGTGCAAATTGTGAATCAAATAATAAACTGAAAAGCACTAATATATTTAGGTAACTTCAAAGTAACCTCTGGACAAAGACCTGAAGTAAAAAAGGTTTTGGTGCTTTATTTTACATTATCTATATATTTAACTATTTCACACCACACAAAATCTTCCTAGTGAGCTTAGGTTTCGTCCGGTCTGTCAAATGCGCTTTATTTCACATCTGTTTTTATTTATTTCAAATCAAATGTAAGCCGAGTCTTGTTCAATTTTTCTTCCTAATGTAGTTGAATTTATTGAACTAGTGTCATGTTAATTTTCTTTCTGAGCCGAGGTTCTCTGAGTTACCAGCTACCGCGCGATATTTCATATCTCTAACTCAAAGAATATTAAAAAAAAATGACAGCGCGAGGGAAAATAAAATTCCTTTTTACCCTTCTAATAAACAATGCTATCTTGTGAATGCTAGTAACAAAAATTCGATTATACGAGGTTGGTCATGGCGAGTCACCACCGAAAATACAATTAAACAAGAAGAAACAAGACATACCTCTTAGTAAATAGCCGCGTCTAAGCAAACACGACATAAAACTTTGGCACAAAAATATCTTTACAAAAAGTCTTCGATAAAGGTTAATTCGTAATTCAAGAAAAATAAGTTTACATCAGAACCGCACATTTTTAAGAAGGAAAAGATGTAGCCAATCATACAGCAAATGAAAGTGACTCCCGCGATTCACTTTCTCTGGGGTAAATAATTGTCTGGTTTAACTACGAAAAAAATCTTACCTTGTTCCGTCAGATGCATTATATCTGCTTAGGTAGAATCCGGCAAGTCCCCTACTTAACTTCGACTTGAACCTCATCACTAGAAAGTAATGACTCCCTTTTTGAAGTTCACTGGCGAGACTTATGACAACCATTTCTCCCGACAATCGAGAAGTTTCCGTCACAGTTATGGTTTCTAAAATGTTTTCGCCTTCAACTCTTGCAACCCCCTCAACAGAGTAATCCATTTTCGTTCCAACATGAAGGGTTATGTTAGTAGAAGTTTCATGACAGAGGAGAAGAATATCAACCTTTCCGAAGAAATTAAACTTTGTCAGATTAGGATGTAAATAAAGCAGATATTCGATCGGCGTTAGGTGTCTTGGAAGCCGTAGAGAATGCGAGCCTTTGTCCTCTTTTCCATGTCCCAAAGTAGAAGGTTTTTTAGCCTGTTCATAATGAGAATTCTTTCTACTGTTCTTGATTACAGTTTCGTATGAAGACGATGGACGAGCGAACGCAACGATGAGAAACACTGAAACTAACAACACAGCGGTCGCAACGCCATATGCGGCGTTCTTCCCGCCGAACATTTGCCAAAGTCTACACACGAACTTTGAATCTCGGATTCGTTTCCTTCTGTAGTGTTTCCTATCGGGAAGGAGCGAAATATCAAGATTGTCTTCAAATTCTACGCTTGAGGAGTCAGATTCCTCTAAGCTATTTGATTTCATAGTCCGGAATGGATATTAGCATTTTGAATAAATAAGTTGACAGGCGGCGCACGCAGCTGCATCCTCTTGTTAGTGCGCGTGACGTGATCCGTGATCTGTGATCTCACGTCAAGCTTCACAAAGATCACATTTACCACCTTTGTTGAGCCAAAAGAGAGCCAAAAAATATAATCTCTCAAAATAAAGACTTTTCACTTTACATTAATAGAGCAAAGGTTATATTTGCGATGAAAGAAAAAATATTAAGAAATTTCATAAAATCGTTGACCGCCAAGATAATTATAGGTAGCTTGGCGGAATATTTTACGAGATAGTTCCCCAGGGTGGGATATATTATCATCAAAATACAACAATCTCAGCGTCTTTTTTCTTCTCTTTTTCATTTAATTTTAAAACCTGGCCATTTTTCTGAAATTTATTGATTTCTTCTAGTTTAATCTTAAGGACACTGGATCAGTTGAATCCGATATCTTTGCCATCTCTGACAGTCAAGGTTCGCCCACGCAGATAAATTTGCGCACATCAATCGTCAAGAAAATCAGCCAGTGATGGAATAAATATAAAACTGGCACGATAATATTCCGAGGAAGTTTTAAGTTAAGTGAGTAATATTTGGCCTTTTACAGATGGCCAATATTTCTCGCCTCGTGTCTTAAATATCAGAAACAGAAGTTTTTCGCAGTTACCGGCAACCGTATTGGCAACAAGGCATCTTTGATTGTACTTTGCTTATTTGGAAAATAAAAGTAATTGAATAAACAAAGGACGAGCCCCTTGCATTTTCAAGAAGTTGAAATTCAAATGTAGAGGGCGAAATTTTAATTTCAGGCGCAATGAACAGTGGGCGAAACTTTCACATCTCAGTAGGAGTGTTTCAATCTCCGGTTGTTTTTCACAAAAGAGGAACAAATATCATTGAACGTCACTAAATTTGCCTAAATGTTATATTTTGACCTATTCCTTTTTCACGAGAACAGAAGAGGCTTGCTATGTTCGTCACGAATTGAGTCAGATCAATATTCAATAAGAGACGTCAGACCCTTAAGGAAAGTCACATCTATTCAATCTCCTACACGACACAGCCTTTCTTGGGGGAGAGTTGTGGTACCTACATTGTGGCCCTTACAAAACTGCACGAAATGAACATGTTTAGAAATGCTAGCACCTGATAAAAACTATTGGTGGATATCAGGCTCGTATCTATGAAAAGATGAGCTGTTGCTTTAAATGATTTTCTTCCATTTAAGTAATTCTCTTCATTTTCACTCTAGGCAATATCAATTGACGACTTCGGTATCTTAGCGACCACCATATGCTTTCGAAAAGAAGAGCTGTTAAATTGATAGAAGTTCGAGGATTCCTGCTTGGATTTGTCTGAAAGCACACTCAGCCATATCAAAGTTGAAATCTTTCTGAGAATTCTCTTTCCCTGAAATTTCCTTTTAGTCATACAATAATATTTCACGATTATATGAGAGTTTTCCATGTGTTTTACGCCCACGTCCTCCCCCCACCCCCCTCATTTGCACGGTTCTTACAAGGACAATCTCCAATTTAAAAACGTGTCTGACGTCAAACTACTTCACGGTGTTGTTGTTAAAGGGGTTTTTACTGGTCCTTAGTTTACATATTGAGAAACAGTGCCACGTAGACGTAAATTCCAATTTTAAGATCGTATCAATCTACGTTTTGCGCTTCAAATAGTAATTCCAGGAGAGTGTTTTTGACGAGGTATGCCATTGCTCAGGATGAAAAGGCCTTTCAGTGAGGCCAAACAAAAGAAGAACACTCTTAAAGTGCCTGAAGGGTTTAACCTGTAAGGCGAAGCCGGTAACATTCATTAACAACTGATTATAACTGAATAATTATGAATTTACGCCCACCGATAGACGATCAACAGTTTAATATCTCTAAGAAGTTGAAGTTTCCTTAGATCTTTCACCAAATATTACCTTCATTCTATCTTTTGATTCCATTTATTTATTCAATAACATTGAAAACTTTCCTAGTAAACCGAAGTCTCGATCTGCCTATGGTACTTTATCCTATATGTGCATATTTATCAAATTTAAAATGCCAAATGTAAACTTTCTTAGAACTGAGGCCGAAGTTTCCTTTAACCTACACAATTAAAGACCATTTCACTCTGCAAATGAAGGTGGCTATTTAGTGAAATCAGTTCTAATATTAATCGACTGACGCTCTTACAAGTCCTCAATGAGATCGCTAAAACCCGTGATGTGAAGCTGTCAACATTCACCGCAAAGTGACCATAATACAATAAATAACCGGATGCGCATTAATCGACGATCAACGGTTCAAATGCATTTGACTGGAAGTGAAGTCTCAACTTTTGAACTTAAGTAGTGCAGAGAACGATGAACTTTTGATGTAGAACTCGAAAGTCGCAAAGAACAGGTACTTCGTCGTCGCTTTGCCAGTTGTAGATCAAAACAGTATTTCATGAATCGTCTTCAAGAAATAACTGGCAGATTAATTAATAAGCCTTCTGGCTACGCTGTCGGTAGTTTATGTTTCTTACATGATTTTAACGAAGTGGCTCTCTAAACAGTACGTCCATGTATATAAGTAAAACATTAATGCACAAAAACACAGGGGGACAATCGAGGAGTAAGGAGTTCAGTGCTAAAGATAGACCCATGGATTAGGGATCAAAGTTATTGCGTTTCGTCATTGTGACGGCTACAGATGAGAGCACTTATTCTAAGAATTTAATTAGATATCCAGGCTGGAATAGGTGGAACTTTAAGGTAAGGCGAGGTCGTGAAACCAAAATATTTCGCCAGATGATGGAAAATAAAATACAACAAAATCACAATTTTTTTAATGATTTTATTTAAGAATGGAAACACGCATAGTTTTAGGTAGGAGAAAAAAAAACTTTAAAATGTTTGTATATGTAATAGAAGTATAAAAAGAAAAATTCTGATAGCCAAAATGAGACGAGGCCGTAAGATAAGTCATATCTGGCTGTCAGAGGAATTTTTTTAATCCAATTATTTCCAAAATTGGACAAACATGCAGTCCCCTTATTAATTAAATAGCTGGTCAGTTGTAATTCGACACTGCACAGTCAAGCTATTATTCTTTAGTGTTTTAAAACTGTCCAATTATATGGATAAATTTGGATAGTTTGAATCCAAATTAATCCTTAATTGACAGTTTTAAAAAATTAAAGAAGATTAGCTATGCTGACAATTTCGGATTAACTACTCACTAGAAAAGAATACTTGTAAAATCATTTTTGTTTCTACGATGAAACTGTTACTAAATTAAAAATAGGGAAGCTAATAAATACGACCTTCACAAATGTGGGTGCAATTTCACTAAAAAAATGAGTCGTATATCAAGGATTTTCATCCGGCACAGCCCTACTGCCAATTCTAAATGTCTTTATTATATTATGTAGATATATGGAACCGAATATGTCTTTGGGTATATTGGGAAAGCTTTATAACCAAAATTAAGGACCATACCATGTTTTGTCCCAGTTCTTTTACGCTTCCCAATCCAAAGCAGTAACCGAAGGTCTGGTCAATCAAGTTCTATCGGTACTTAAGATACACTTATATTAGGTCTAGTTAATTCTATCGGTACTAAAGATATACTTCTATTACTTATGTTATACTTATATTTACTTATACTAGTAGGTTCAATGTGAAAGTGGGTGCTGGCGTCAGAGCTTGAAGGAGATACTTATAATTCCATTTGAAATAAACGGTATAATGGGGGGTTGGTGTGGCTTTTTTAAAGAGAATTACGATTTTTCCAACCAGTTTAGTTTTAAAGGGCTTTTGTGAAACAACAACAGAGCTCCAAAATTTTTGTTTTGAGTTAAGAGCTAACATTTCGCTGCTGCTGAAAGCACTTAGAAAAAAATTATCTCCATGAGATGGGACTTGATCGATATCTTGGCACCATCATAGAGCAGCCAAACACATAAAAATCTCTTGTATTCCTCGAGAGTCATCATTAAGCCGTTCATGACCTTGATGAATACTTCCACGAGCAATTAAAGACATCCATATCAAAAAATCACCTCGTTTATCGTGTCCTTGATTTCTAGCAGAGCGGGACGGCTGTACACAGCTATTGCTCGAAATCGATCGATATTTCCACGTGCATCTTATCTGATATCATCACAAATACCCGGGATATAAAAAACGCAATCGACCGCGCATGTCTCCGATCTTACATTCGACGAATTTTGGCTTTTTCTCGCTATTGTAAGGAATAGGCTGGCCTCGCTAGGGCTCGCCAGCAATTACTTATATTACATTTACAGCCATTTTCCTTCATCAAATCATTCGGCTGTCATGCCTATGCTAAAGGAAATCGTGGCAAAAGATCACGACTAGAAGTTCTATATGCGTTAAGCTTTTGACACTGTAAGACGACATTGCATTGCACTCATGAAGTTCTCAACTTCACAGTCAAAGATTAGTAGTAGTTACGGTCATAACGAAAAAATGTATTTCCCAACGATAAGTTTCCGTCTAGAAACTTGAACCTAAGTCTGCAAACAGTGCTGCCTTTGATTATGAAAAAAGAAACTAAACACCAGCAAATAAAAACCTTAGAGACGAGCAAGAAGAGGAGCCAACAAGTGGAGGATTCCGAAGAGAAAATGTGTAAACCGTTCAGAGAAATGCCAAATGAATCGAAAAGAAGCCATGAAAAAAGCAACAGGAAAACTTACTTTAATATGTGTTCTCACCCAGTGTCAATTTGAATGCTTTTAGTTGAACTGAAAGAATAACAATGTCTTAAATGGCCACACCATCCTCGTAAATTTCCTTCCAAATACGAACTTCGATTATGCAGCCGAACATGACTTTTAACCCAACAATTTTATTAAAAAAAATAGTCTGCCGGCTTTTAGTCTATAGTTCGATAAGATCATTGTGACATGTGATCCAAACCATTTATCTCAACACAGGGGCGTGGCCAGGATTTTTCAAAGGGAGGGTCACAGAGGCTACTTACCATTTACACCGCTGCTCTTCCGCGTGTATCAGCGGGCTCAGTCGTATTATCGCGGCATGAAGGTCCATATTAACTAAATACAAGAGCCATTGACGAAAATACTTTACAAAAAAACAAATTTTAAAAAAGTGGGCTTTTCAACAATGGCTTTTACGGCCAAGATATTGTCATGGCGTTTTCGCCACCTGTATATTGTAGGTTGTTTGCTCTAAAGAAGGCCTACCAAGGGGGGGTCATGGGCACCCCAGGACCCCCCCGTGGCTACGTCCTTGCAACACAGTCTCTAAAATAATACTACTTGACGTCGGTTTGGAGGAAGTTTTTCAACCATTCATAGACCGCTGGTCCGTGCTCTTTCATCCACTTTATATTTCCTTCTATACTTTCCAGACTTTGACGAACAGCCCTCTCCCCAGATCCTTGGTCAACCTTTGCGAAAAACTGGCTCACCTATGAATACAAACATTATAAAATGGATGAATAAACTGGCCACTGGCACCTTCATGTTGCGCGAGTTTGGTCTTAAATTAATCCTGTGATTTCAACACGAACCTGTGCTAGACGTTCACTCGAGTTCAAAATCAAGTGCATGATTTCAAAGTAAAACTGAATAATACTCGACTCAATTTAAGGTTATGCTCAAGTCAAGTGCCCAAGCCAGAGCTTTTCCCGGTTCTATAGCATGAAGGGACTAAAAGTATCGCAATTGCCCCCCTGGATGCATGAGATGCCAGTTCATCGAGAGGCTTCCCCCCTGCATTACTTCATCAGGCTTCACCCATTTGTATTCCTAGGTTGCGAGAAGCACTACGAAAGTTTAGTGTCTTGCCCAAGAAAGCAGTCCAATCACCCAGTCAGGTCTCGAACGCAGACCACTCGACCAGGATTCCAATGCACTGACCAATAGGCCACCAAACCTCTCACAATTGCAATTACTAATACCTGCGAACTGGCTGCAGCGTAAGTTAAAAATGCACATGAAACGATTTTACAAGTTTTATTCATTAGAATGGAATAAATGGACACATCTAATGACAACTTTCCAAAAAAGTGATGATGTTTCTCACCTGGGTTTTCATTTCCCTTGTGTTAAAGTGAGCAGTGTTAGACTTGATCAAACGACTAAAATCAAAAGAGCCGACCCCATATCTACCGAGAGAGGTAAATGAAAGTGAATGGTGAAACAATTCTATAAAGTAACAAAGAAATGCATATTGTAGCGGAAATTCAAAAGAGAAAAATGAGCAAAGATTCAAAATCAAAGCGGAAATCGACCTGAGCAGTTTTTTTGCTCTGAAACAATTTTTTTGCAGTAAAGCACTATTTAAGCAATAGTGAAAATCAGACCTGAAACAAATTCAGGCCTGTACGGGATTCGAACCACTGACCTCTGCGATACTAGTGCAGCGCTCTACCAATTGAGCTAACAAGCCAACTGGGAGCAGGCCATCAAATTAATTCGACATAAACCCGTAGATGATAAATCAAACAACAAACATATGAAATACATATATATGAACTGCGGTTATGAAACGTATATGTGCACGATCCTTCGCAGTAAAGCACTATTTAAGCAATAGTGAAAATCAGACCTGAAAAAAATTCAGGCCTGTA